TGAATAAAATTGAAACTATGAAGTTTGTGTTTATGAAAATGAGAGTTATGAGGATTGTTTAGATGAAAATAGAGAGGAAATGAGAGGAAATGAAGTATTGTTGGTTTAGAAAGTGAAATAAGTGGTTGACAATTCATATCTTGAGCTTAAAGACCTCACCAATGGTTGTTTTTGGTGGTTGTAAATATTGATGACAATGGCATTGTGGTGAATAAGACGAAATGTTTAGGGTGTAATAGGTTTTTAATAATTTTTAAAATTTATATAATATTTAATAATAATGGAAATTTTGTAAATGGTTAGAAACATGAGGAGAGTTTAGGTTTTTCAAGAGTGAATAGTAATGACAAAAAAAAAGAGGTTGGTTTTGTGTTTTACTTGAATTTTTAGGTTGGTTTTGCAAAATCCCCTATATATATATATTGAGTGAATGAGTGAGTGTAATTAATATTGTTAGGTTTATATTAATTAGTTTTCTGAAATCTATGATAAACTGTATTTACTACTTATATTAAAATCTTATATAATTGTTTATGTAGTAAGAAATCATATGTATTTAAATTTATATTATCAACTTATATAATGTAATCTTTGATATTTAATGTTTTTAAAAATAAATTATGTTAATTCATTTATATTTAAAATGTTTAATTACATGTTTGGAAACTTAGACTAGAGTAAGTAATTCTAGCGTTAATTTCCTTTTAAAACCTTTAGTTAAATAAAAGAAAAAATCATCAACCAATCAAATTATAATAATTAATTGAAGGGTTCTCCTATAAACGATATGTCAACATAAGTTAATTAAATGACTTCTCAATTAATATATAGTAGAATTTTAGTGTTATCTACGTATTTTTCACAGGTTCACATTGGTTGGGGAATAATCTCATATTTTGTTGCACCATTATAAACGTGTTTCTGTGTTTTTCCCAAACATGACATACATAGAGTGTATTATTTATATGATATGTTAAAATGAAAATATAAGATAAAAATATAATGATAAAATCTAATAGTTATATTAGTGCTCGCAGCACATGTGCGGTCCACCCAGGGCCGGCTTACAAGGGGAAAAACGGTGCGACCGTCCCGAGTCCAAACCCGTGTACCCCCGATTTTACTGATTACGGGGTCTAATATTTTTTATATATACATATTTTTATATATAAAATTTTAAATATTTATAAATTTTAGTTGAATAGGGGCCCTAAAATATTTTACATATACATAATTTATTTTCGTAACAAATTTTTTAAAGATATTGATGTTATAAATTTAAAAAATATCTAATTTTTTAATAAATATAAACATTAAAGGTAAAAAAAAAAATTTTGCCCAGGGGCCCAAATAAATGTTGAGCCGGCCCTGGGTCCACTGGTTTTCATAGTGTAGAAACGATTCTTATCAATTTACGTTGACCTATTCTAATTTTGAGACTTGAGAGTTAGGGGATGATTAGTTGTAGTTGTAAATGTTCTAGATAGTCAAAATTTAGTAAAAAAATATATGTTTCAACCAATCAAGTTTTACTTTTTTTCTAAATCTACAGCAAAAGTATTTCTAAAAATTTTAAAAGTGGCTGTAGAAAGCTTTATTTCTAAAACAAAAAATAAGTTTTTTAAGAAAGTATAGCAAAAGAATATACAATAAATAAATCTACAATTTAGTTTCTACAGTTAATAACATAAAGTTACAGCTCATTCCAGTCACTTTCTTAGAGTTTTGAAGTTACCGCCATTTATTTTTACTTCTAATAAGTTTTAATAACCTTCAAAGTTACCAGTATTTGTTTTTCTTGGAAGTGAATACAAATTGGAAGACAGACTGAAGACGGGTAACGCATACGTGAGCCCGCACTCACGCATAATGTATGTACTCTGTAGTTAGATAATTTTCCACCGGATTAATTTGACAGAAAAACATAAAAGGTATATTGAGCAAGAATAGTATCCTCAAAAAAAAAAAAGAATAGAATCCTCTAATTTTGCTCAAAATAAAAGAAGAAAAGGACCCTGTAATTTTTCAGATATCGTTGGTATTGAACTATTGTTATATAAATTAGAAACAAAAGAACCATATAATGGCGGAAGTAACGGAAAGACCAAGAAAGATCTTTGTTATGTTAAGAAAATTGTGAAATTATAAAATCTAAAATAAGAAAACTATTGTTAAAATTAGAAAGTAAATTGTAAATTTCGTTGTTCTGTTATTTGAAATCTCTCTCGTCATCATTCAAACCCCAAAAAAAATAAAAATCCTCTAAAAGGAATAAAATCTTCCAGAGTTGCTAAATCCGTTTCTATGGCGTTTCCTCTTCGTGTCTAAGGGTGCTTTATTTCCATTTCCTCTTCTGGTAATGTGTACATTCTTATGTAACTAGCATGAATATTCATTGGAAAGAATTACCCGTGATATATAATTCCTCTTGTTAAGGATTTTGCTTGATATATTTGGATCTATGACATTAGTTTCCATGTGATTGTTGTGCTTTGATTTCTTGCTTATATATGGTTAGATGCTGGAAAACTACAGAAAAATATACAAGGAAACTTAATGGAGAGAGGGGGAGATATGTTTGGTTAGAATGATCGAAGATTACATATTTACATAGGATCGATTACCAAAAGAAAAAATTATATAGAATCAAAAGAAAAAAATACAAAAAAAAGAAGGATCAAACCATTTTTATATTATTTTTGGACCTTTGTGTTCCCGAGTTCATGTGTTATTGAAGTCTGATCATCAAGTTGTTTCTTAAATGGACATTATTCTAAGGGGTTGATTGGTAGAGCATTAGCATAAGCATTATGCTCTCTATTATCCAATCAACATTTAGCAAAAAAACATTTAGAAAAGCATTTACCAAATGCAAATGCTCTCCAAATGCTCTTTACTCAATGCTCTCATATAGAGCTTTTGGAAGAGCATTTGCATATAGAAAATATAAAATTTAATAATATTTATATATAATTAATTTATTTTTGTTTAAAAATATAAACAATATTTTATAATTAAATATAAATTTATATTTTAAAAAATAAAAATAAAAATTATAATTAATTATTTTTAAAAGAACAATATTTCACATTTAAAATATAATATAATTTATATAATTACATATATCATTCATTATTTTTAATAACAAACATAACATAATATAATTTATATATTATCGATATAAACATATTATTTAGACACTAATAAATAAATTATATATTAACTTTTATGATA